ACATCCCTATGTGCGTTTAATAACTCTCTTCCCAGATGCAGAGAGCGTTGGCACTTCCATGCTTTGTGCGGGTAAGTCCCCGTACGGATGGGGGGCTATGGGAGGAATCGCCTCCTTTCTCAGCCCAGTATAGGGGTGATGGGGAGGGGATGGTGGGGGAGAGAGGTTCAGCGTCTCCAATTTTCTGGAAAACCCTTGGGAACGGCCGTTGTTCGTCCCGGGAGTGCGAGGGGTCGTTGGGGATGAAAGGACGCCGGGTGGGAAGCAGAAGGGAAAGGCAGACGGGCAGGTTTCAACGGCTGCAGAGGGGCCGGTGGAAAACACGGCCCCGATTTACTGGGATGTGATGGGCAGAACACGAACTCCATCAAAATGACCTTTCTCTTTCGCCATCTCTCTCCCTCGCTTGCTTTTTTTTTTTTATTATTATTATTTTCCCCAGCCAGGGATTTCAGCTGAAGGGTATTAGTTAATCAGATTCTGAGAAGCAGATGTTAGGTGATTTAGGAGGAAAAAACGAGGCAACTTTCTAGTTCAAGCCTCCGCTGGAGCCTGGAGCGCACGTTGCAAAGCTTTGGGAGGATGTTTTGTGGCTTTAGGCAGCGCCATTCATTTTAGTCTAAATTTAAAACGAGATGATGGGGTGGTCTGGGGACTTGGGGACAGATGGGGCATCTACCTCCAGTGACAGGGACAGGAAGACATCAGTACATGTTGGGCTTTGAAGGCAAGAAAAGGAGAGTCGGAGCCCTGCATCCCTTGGGCAGCTGCCCCAAGGGCTTGAAAAGGACCTAAAAAGCACCTTTCCGTGTCCCAACGGGAGGGACGAGCACAACTTTCCACTCCCGACCCTGACCATGACATGCAAATTGTCCCGTCATAGCTCTGTGCCTCAGTTTCCCCATGAGGGATGATGCTGGGGGGGCTCAGTTCAATGCGCACAGAGGCTCCAGGGCAAAGCCAGGTTACAAGACACTGTGATTTCTTCCATGACCAAAAGTCTCAGGTTGAAGCTGTCCTACCAAGGGCTGGGGAATTTTCTTCCCTGCCGTGCCAGCATGCGGTATTAAGAGTTAAGCACACTTAATGCTTAAAATGCCAAGATCATCTCACAGCGCTGACTTAGGACGCAATTTCACGGCCGGCTTTAGCTGCTCTCCCTTTGCCCCACAGCCCAGAGAAGTTCCCAGGCACATGGTCCCCTCTGGGCTCTCCCACCAGCATGGAGGTGTGGTGGGGTGGGTGGCGGGTGGGTCAGGTCAGCTCACCCACCCAGCTGAACACCGAACACTCCCGCTCTCCTGATTCAAACTGATGGTCTTTATTTTTTGTTCTGATTTAAAAATCATCTTTGGCCGTTTGTATGGAGACAAAAAAAAAAAAAAGAACACAAGAGGGGAAAGATATGTGCTGCTTTTCCTTTTCTCTTTAATGCTTGTTTTTCCCTGAAAAGATTCAAATGAGCTTTGTACCCAGCTGAACACCGAACACTCCCGCTCTCCTGATTCAAACTGATGGTCTTTATTTTTTGTTCTGATTTAAAAATCATCTTTGGCCGTTTGTATGGAGACAAAAAAAAAAAAAAGAACACAAGAGGGGAAAGATATGTGCTGCTTTTCCTTTTCTCTTTAATGCTTGTTTTTCCCTGAAAAGATTCAAATGAGCTTTGTTTGGGCTGGGCTTCTCGCAGTACCCCTTTGCCTGCCTCCTGATGCTACGTGGGTGCTGAAACGTGGGTGATCCGCAGCTCTCGGCTGCCGTCTCCCCACAGAGGTTGCGTTGCACTTTCTGCACCCAGCATTGCTCTGCTGCTGCACCTCGTCCTGCCCGCAACAGCTTTCCAACAGAGCTGCTGAAAAGTCAAGCCTGAGCTGAATCCAGCCCCGTAGAGAGCTGCTACGCCTTGGGCTCGCCTGAGCAGGACATCACTGGGGCTGAAGGACTCGGGACTGGAGTCATTTGGGCTACTCAGCTTTGCAGCAGGTTGGGGCAGGGGGGGGAACCACACTGCTACTGCTGCTGCTTCCTCCAGGCACCATTGCTGCCCTGTTGCCCTGAATGCTCCTCTCTATGTGTCCCCAAATGGGAAAATTGGCACCAAACCAGCAAGAAGCAGCTTTATAGAGATGGATGCCTAAGAACAACCATGCCCCATGGCTTTTTTTTTTAAGCAAAGAATCATAATCTTTAAGTAGCTTATGATAAATTGTGGGGTTTGTCCCCAAATCCAGAATCTCACGACTCTGCTGAGGAAACAGCGAGGCTGAGCCCTTGCCCTGGGTGTGGATGCTGGTTCCTGATGAAGTTTTGCTTTTGGGGTTGTAATGCTGAGGGCAGAAGAGGGAGGATTTGTAGCAAGCTGGGATGTTTAACACCTACTTCTGCAACAAATTCGGGTTTCTAGCTTGTCCTACCCCACTTCACCAGCAGTGCATCAGCATGGATGGATGAGTCCACCTCTGGGGAAAGAGGAAGGAAAAACTTCAGAGCCCCAAACTTCAATTAAATAGGGACACGGACAGGATGGGTCCCTTCCCAGCACCTGCTTGCATGAAGTAAAGCCTGCGGTGGAGAGCATCCTCATCACAGGACCGGCCCCAGCGCCGCTGCTGCTCCGTGCAGACGTGGCCTAAATTGCGTTGCTATTCTTGGCAGTCGAGGGCAATTGGGTTTTTTTGCTCCCTCTCTCTGAACTTCGCTGGGTAAGAAAGCCAGCGTGCCCTTAGTGATTAGCGGTCACGCACGGCAGCTCTGCCTGTCCTTCTGCGGTTTCTCATGTCTGGAAAACATATTTGTGGGGGAAGAGCTGGAGGGGAAATAAATCAGGTGCTTGACTTTACTTGGAAAGTGCCTTTTGGGGCAAAATCTCCCCAGAACCATTCCCTGTTAATGTCTAATTTCTCTTTACACTCCTCCCTGAGGCAAGACAGGTAATTTCCCAGCTCCGTAACTTGGCCTGGTCCCTGGGCTCCTCTTTGACTTTGCCTCTGAGTTCAGTACAATCACAGCGATGTGTCAGGAAGACGTGTGCTCGGGAGTATTTTGGGGACATAGTGTCCATTGCTGAGTGCCTGACAGAGCCAGTCTGGGAAAAAATCCACCCATGGCCTGAAAGATGCTCTCCAAGTGACCTGAGTGTTTAGTCCTCGTCTTCTTCTTATGGCTGGGAGTATCAGATCTACTATGAAGGAGGCCTAGGAGAGCTCTGGAGGACATCACCTCACCCACTGCCCACCCCAGTCTGGATCAAGACAAGGGGTCCCAGCCCGCACCCCTCTTCACACAGAGCAAAGGGGTTCTCCAAGGCTGGTGGACGTGTCCTTCTCCTCCTGACCTGCTTTCTCCTGGGCTGAGCTCCCCAAATCCCAGTGTGGCCCACAGTTTGGGAATTGCTTTTCGAATGATGGTTAACCCAGCTGCAATGTGCCCAGGACCTGGGCTGACCCAACGCCTCTCCCAGCTGGAGCAAGGGCTGCTGCTAACCAGGACACCCATGTTTAATACCTCCAAATCCTGCTCCAAACTCTGGACCCATACCCGGAAAAGTCTGAAGTGCCCCCTTCCTCTGCAGGGCTGGGATTGCTGGGAAAAGGCTGGGTGGGATGCCTGGGCTCACCCCCATCCTCTGCTACTGCCTGACCTTTTATCCTTGGGTGCTGTAAATGGTGTTGGGAGGTTTAATGATGACAGTGAAGCCATGCCAAAAGGGCTTCCGGGATCTGGAGATGAACGACTTGCGGGAAATATAAGGCTTATGACAGTCAATGAAATTAATGTTTCCATTAAAAAAATACAGGGATTTCTGACCTCGGGTTTGTTTTGTTCCTCTCAGTCGAGCCAAGCGATACATATGCACAATTCAGCTCTCTCTCCCTGTCCATTCACTTGCAGATCCTCATAGCGTGGGAAAGACGCAAGCTGCCGGCATCCGACTCGGGGATTTATGCTGCTAATCTGATTAGTGTATGATGGACGTGTCCAGTTGGAAGGAGATGGAGGTGGCACTAGTCAGTTTTGACAACGCTGATCAGATCGTGGAGGATCCCTGTTATTCAAATGACCTCAGCCCTGCTGCCCAGTCGCGGAAGGGCCATCCCAGCTGCACCAACCTCCTCTCCAACTTGAGGATCCTCATCAACAGCGAAAACGCCAACAATGAGACCATTTTCTCCAGGTTCTCCGCTGAGTTCAGTGAGCACCTGGTTGGGGAGAGGGTGGGCATGGATGAGGGGGACCAACGAGTCATCATCAACATCGCTGGGCTGAGGTTTGAGACGCGGCTCAAGACCCTCGACCAGTTCCCTGAGACCTTACTTGGGGATCCAGAAAAGAGGATGCGTTACTTCGACTCCATGAGGAATGAGTATTTCTTTGATAGGAACAGGCCCAGTTTTGATGGGATCCTGTACTATTACCAGTCCGGTGGGAAAATACGGCGCCCGGCCAACGTCCCCATCGACGTCTTTGCTGATGAAATCACCTTCTACGAGCTGGGTGATGAAGCCATGGACCAGTTCAGGGAGGATGAAGGGTTCATCAAGGACCCTGAGACCCTCTTACCAACCAATGACTTTCATAGGCAATTCTGGCTGCTTTTCGAGTACCCCGAAAGCTCCAGTGCAGCCAGGGGTGTAGCTTTGGTCTCCGTCTTGGTCATTGTCATCTCCATCATCATCTTCTGCATGGAGACCTTGCCGGAGTTCAGGGAGGAAAGGGAGTTTAAGTCCACCCAGGAGCTTTCTAAGAATCTGACAGACACCTTGCTGGCCCACAGTACCTTCACGGACCCTTTCTTCGTCATAGAGACTGCCTGCATCGTCTGGTTCTCCTTTGAGCTGTTCGTCCGGTTCATCGTGTGCCCCAGCAAGACTGAGTTCTTCAGGAACATCATGAACATTATCGACATCGTGTCCATCATCCCGTACTTCGTGACGCTTACCACCGAGCTCATCCAGCAGAGCGAACTCAATGGGCAACAGAACATGTCCTTGGCCATCCTGCGGATCATCCGGCTGGTCAGGGTCTTCCGTATCTTCAAGCTCTCCCGGCACTCCAAGGGGCTGCAGATCCTGGGGCAGACCCTCAAGGCCAGCATGCGGGAGCTGGGCTTGCTCATCTTCTTCCTCTTCATCGGCGTCATCCTCTTCTCCAGCGCCGTGTACTTTGCAGAAGTGGATGAGCCACAGTCCCATTTCTCCAGCATCCCCGATGGCTTCTGGTGGGCCGTGGTCACGATGACGACCGTTGGCTACGGAGACATGTGTCCCACCACCTTGGGTGGGAAGATCGTGGGGACTCTGTGCGCCATTGCAGGCGTGTTGACCATCGCGCTGCCCGTCCCCGTCATCGTCTCGAACTTCAACTATTTCTACCACAGGGAGACAGAGAACGAAGAGAAGCAAATTCTGCCCGGGGAGGTGGAGCGAATACTCACCAGCGTGGTGACGGGCAACGGCAGCATGGAGTCGCTCAATAAGACCAATGGGGGCTACCCTCGAGACAAGGCCAAAAAATGATGGTCGAGGCCATGACGGGACTGGGCACTGTCAGGTGGGATTGGCTGGATAAGGTATAAAACATCTGCAGGCTGTGATTTTTCATTTAAACCAAATGTGCTGCTGCTTTTTTTTTTTTTCCTAGACATTTTTCAATCTCTGATTTCCTGCGGCTGTTCAAATAAATACCATCTTTCTTATCTCTCTTCCCAGCCCATCAGTCTGTGTTTTTATTATTTGATGCTCATCTGCTTGACATGTAGCTTCTCTGTCCATGGCGTCAGAGCGGAGTTCCCCCTATACAGAGATTTCCCCCATTTACCGGAGGAGGGGGAAAAAGGGCAAAATGATGTGAGGTGCTTTGCTCAGAGGTATCCAGCTGACCAGGGATTAAGATGGGTCCAGTTCCCTGCTTTTCTTAAACCATTTAAAATAGTTCCTCCCCACTCACCGCTCAGGATCTGAGGGCTGAACAAGTCCCAGATCTGGGACTGCTCTGGCTGAAACATAAGTTAGCAAAAAAGGAAAAGAACATTTATGTTTCTAGCTGGATGAGTACCCTGGTCTGCCTGCCTAAACAATTTGGTAGGCACAGCAGGGTGGGCAGTGACGGATGGGACCAAGCCACCAGGTGAGGGAATTAGGAGGAGAGGGGTGGTGACGGATCACGGTGGCACGGCCACCAAAAAAAGTCCAGGGCACAATGGGCTCAACACCCGCTGGGGTTTCTGATGGGAAGCTGTGCTCTGAGCAAGGGAAGGGGATTTCTCCTGCAACAAATGCTCGACTCCGGGGTTGTCTGGTGTACAAATGCCTTTGGGGATAAGCCACCGTGACCTTGTAGCTTTTATTGTCACTTATGTTGCTGCAGGTGGAGCGCAGAGTGATGAAGGTTTCCCGACAGCTCGGCTTCGCATTGTAAAAAGGCACTTCTGGTTTTCTAAAACATGCAAAGTTCCATCGGCACTTTCGATGGGAAAAACCAGCAACAGATCATTTTGCCGTTCACTCTAATGCCAGCAGGTTTTCTTCCGACAAAAACATTTTGTTCCGACTTCACTGTTTCACTTGGCTTTTTTTTTTTTTTTTTTTGGTGTTTCTGCCTACATTAAAATCACAGTTTCTCATGCAGTGTCTACACATCCGCTTTTATATCCCACATCTGTTATACTTGATGTCTCATCTCCTAAGGGTTTGACACCATCATTACACAATGTGCCAGCAGCTCTGGTTTGCAATTTCAATCAGAAAGGAGCCATGAAACATGGATTTTTTAATTTTTTTTTTTTCATTCCTGGTCTGATGGAAAATGTGAGTTTGGGCCTGCTGGGATTTTCCCCATGGCAGAAATCCTGCAACCCTGGTTGAGGGGCGCTTGGTGTTATCTTGGTTTTGGTTTGGGGTTTGGTTTTTTTTGTGGACTGTCTTTCTGCAATAAGAACTTTTGCATCCCAGGGAGATGGATCAGGGACATGACCAGCATAACTCCTTCAGGAAAGGTTTTTCCCTCTAGGACAAATCCCCTTTTTGCCTACTTTTCATGGTTTTTTTCCCATCCCTCCACCATCTTCTTCCTCATCCCATCCCTCATAACCCCCAAATCATCATCCCAGACAGGAGGAGGAGCTGTGAGAGCTATTTAATCTCCTTCCCATCATGTTCAAGTTCTCAACATCTGTGGGGGTGGCCGGAGGAGGCACAGCTGGAGAGTAGCACCCTGAGACATCCCCAGCTCCTCTCCATTTGCCCCTCAATTCTCTCCAGCAGCTCTGCCACATCACTCTTTTTATTTCATAGCAGGTTCTTTCTCCTTTTCCTCTAGAAGGCTTGAACTTTTTACATTCTTTTATTTTTTTTAGCAGTCTCCTCCCCAAACTTTACTCCCAGCCTGCCAAAGCTGAAGCACTTTTGGTGTTTATTCCTTGGGAAGTCACCATAAGAAACCCTGGTGAAAAGGTTTGGGTTGGGAAATATTCAGCCGGCTCACCAGGAGCAGATCTTCACTGCTCCTCCCCTCTTAGCAAACAGGGACCAAAATGGTGCTGGGGTGGATGGATGGATGGATGGATGGATGGATGGATGGATGGATGGATGGATGGATGGAAGGATGAACAACCTGATTCTTATTAACTTGTAAACTTTATTCTCAAATAAAAGAATAGATGCTTCAAAGTCTGGCATGCAGAAAATAATGTTTATTTGGACTTTTTGTTCTTGGCTTTGTGCTGCTCCACAGGAGCTGGTCCCCAGCTGGGAATGAGGGCGGGGGGGTGGGTAGAGACATGAGACACTATGGACCTCCAGATCTGTGAGATGAGGACAAACTTGGCAGGGGTTTCCCCAGCACTTCAGCTTGTCCATTGTGGGAGGCCAGGTCCGAAGGGGATCCCTGATTTATGCGCTAAGGACAGGGTCAGAGGCATTAAACCTCTCCAGACATCAGCTTATTTCCAATTTATCCTAGAGTGAAGAGGAGGAAAAACAGGCTATGAATACCCAGTGTCAATGCTCAGCTGGTGCTTGATAAAAAACTGCTGGAAAACCCATTTTCTTGCACAATTTGCAGCTTAGTACCTTCCCAAATAGAGGCCCAAAGCTCAAAGCTCAATTAAATCCATAAAAGGCTCTTATTAACTGTACTATTCTTGAGTCAAGCCCTAATGAACCAATCTGTCATGTCCTCTAGCACGCAGGCTGAATTCCCACTTGAAATTTTTGTACTGCTACAGAAAAAGCTAAAAAGATGACAAAGAAGCTTCTTTGCTTTATCAGAAAGATGTCCTGGCTGCTTTTTACCCTCCCAGAGCGAGCTGGAACCTGTGGCCACATATGAAATATTTGTCAGCTAAAAGCATCTCCCTCCTCCTTTGAGCTGAAATTTCCAAGCAAGCCCCAGAGCATCCTTTTCCCACCAGGCAGCTATTTCTGCACTTCCCCAGTGCACAGGAGTACAGTTTTGGCACCGCAGCCACGAGATGGCACTCCAGGATAGACATTTCCCTGGATGTAGACAGTCCCCACATGTGTTTTCCCGTCTCTAATTCATGTTTGGAAGCTTTTAGCTGGGTTATCTCTTTATTGCATGTGTGAACACGGATGTGGGAAGGGATCCTTTGGCCATGGGGGATGCTCTCATGGAGGAAGCCCATTGCAGGGTGGCGCTTGCCGAGGACTCTCGGCACCGGTGCAGAATAGCCATGCCAGGAGGGTTTAGGAGCTGCCTCCTGGCACAGCATTTGGGCTGTCGGTCCTGCCCAGGACAAGGACACGGCTTCCCTCTCCCATCCCACTCGCCAAGAGCACAGATATGGCCCCTGGGTGCTCCTGCTGGGTCTTGTCCACTCTGGCAGGGGCTGGTCCATGGGCTGCTGATCCTCGGAGCCACTGTTGCCACTGCATTGGGCTCATTTCTTATTGCTCATTACAATGAGAAAATTCCCATGACGGAGCAGAGGTAAAGCCCTGTCTGCCCAAAATCCAGGCTTGGGTCCCTCTTGGGTACAAGGGATTCCCACCCGTTGGCGCTCAGTGACCCGGGGCTGTGTGAGCTCAGGGAGCTGGGGGAGGGTAAATCACATTTCCACCATCCCATACCGTATACTCCTTTCTAATTGGCTTGAAGAGGGGGCAACTTCTGCATGGTGAGAGGAGAAAAGAATTAATTTGCAACCCAGATCATCGCCTGGATCTCTCCCTCCGCATCCCTGTTCCCACCAGGTAAGCAATCTCTGGGCCCCATCAGGGATGGAGCCTCATTTATCAATAAATGATGCAAATAGCTCCTTATCCGTCCTCACAGTAGAAATGAAGAAGCGGCAGGGACTCTTGGATCTCTCTCTCAGCCTCCTGCTGAGCACTTTCAGTGCAGCTGCTCGGGAGGAAAGAGGCAGCCTCCATTTTTAATAGGATTTTATACGGATGGGGGTAATTTCCTTTTCAAAAATGGGAACTGCTGTTTTAGAGGAATCAAACAAAACTAGAGGAGGAACCATCCTGACCATTGCAAGGGAAAACGACGATCAGATAAATATATTAGGTTTTGGTGGGGTTTTTGCACCGTAATAAAGACTATGACTGAGGACTAACTGGTGTTTCCAGGCTCTTGGTGACCATCTCATAGCACAGACTGGTTTGTTATTGGGAAAGGGGCATTTAATGGAGCTTCTTTATGCAGAAACAACCAGGTAATTTGGATTGTTCTAAATTATGGAAACTGAAATAAGACATTACCTGTACACATGTGCAGCTGTGGATGTGCTCCTGTACAAGCCTCATGATGGGAGGACACGCATTGGATGAAAGCCATCTCCTGCCCTGCTCTCTTGGGCAGTTCAAGGGAAATCTCCAGCCAAGCCACGTCCCCCTGGGTGAGTCACTGTCCTGAGATGTCTTTGGGTTATTGGACACCATGTAGGGGAGACGGGGTCAAACCTTGAGCCCAGGGATGGCGAGCTACTAGATGAGCCACTAGTGGGACACGATTATGTGTCTGCAGGGATCTGCTCTGAGATCTGTGCTGGCATGGTGAGTTCATACTGCCTGGATTGAAATTTGGGGTTTCCAGAATTACTCACTTGATGTAGCCCCAATAAAAGAGCCAATCTTGACTTCCTAGGGACCCAGCCCTCAGCCCCTGCAAGCTATGACCACAGTTCCCAAAGGCCTTAGTCAAGACTATGTTGACCAAATGGTCCTCAGCAACCACAAAGCAGTGTGTGACAGCTCCTTCCTAATTCCTGCCATTTTAGCACAAAATGAGCAGCCACCAAATTTGAACCATCAATGCTTTATTCATGTGCGAGTGAGAGGTTCCTTGGAGATCTCTTGCTACTCCAAAAAACATGGTTGTGGTCTGTTTGCAAGATGAAACCACAGCACCGCTGGCATCATAGTGGATCTAAATAGCTTTGGCCAGTCCAACGCGGTTGTTGGCCCGGTCAAAGATGCTGTAGTACACCCTGATGAAGACATCTCCCAAGATCCAGAGGTCCCCAGAGGTGTTCTGGAAGCTGCTGATGCAAGGTCCTTTGTTGTTCTGCGTTTGAGCAAGAAAAGGCAAACGGGGAAAATGTGGGCTAGTATTTTTCTTGCGTTGCTCTGGAGGTCTATGGCCATCCACCCCCTGTCTCCCATGGGAATGGGAGAAGCGAAGGTGACCAAAGCCATTGGAGAAAGCAGAGGCACCTTGAGAGCAGCTCCTGAAACCAGGACCACCTGGTTGCCCCTTACCTGCTCAGTGTAAGCCAAGGCGGACACAGGGTACTGAACCCCATCGATGACAAAGATGACATCAGGCATGGCAGAAATGGAGCTGCAGTTCACGTTGTACTGCAGAGGGCAGAGGAAAAAGGCTCTTGGGTAAGAAGCAATTTGTTCACGGGGCGAGAGGGGAGGGGTTTTGATTTCACTGGTAAAAAACAGAGACTGGGAGTGTCTCCTGGCGACGTTTATTGGAGGTACCGGAGCAACAGGACTGGTTTGCCGTGAGTGGAGGTGCAGTTGCCCTGTCCATGGAGGCAGGCTTGGCGCTGGGCTCAGCGGTGCCAGGCTGCCTCCAGGGTGAGCAGAGCAAGCCATGGGTGCTCTTACCTCCCCATGTGTGTCCTGCCTGGCCCCAACTGCGCTCTGGATGTTACTAATGCCCGAGGGTGGCCCAGCCACAAGGGAAGTGCCGGTGTCGACGACGGCTTGGCAGCCACCACTGCATGCAATCACCTGGCTGTTCACGATGATGCTGGGGGGACAGACAAAGCAGGGGGCCATTAAATAACCAGGTGGATCCTCATGATGTTTTCAAACTTCTTTTATAAGAGCTAAAGCTGGGTAACCCAAAGGGCTGCCCTTGAGCCTTTTGCTTCTTGGAGTCTGCAGTGCCAGCTGGTATCCCAACCCCTATTGCACATGTGGGCACTGAACACAGCCCAGCAGCTGGAACCCAACCAATCCCAACAAAGCAGGTTTTGGACCATAATTTTGCTCTACTCATCACCAGAGACATCCCCAAGGGCACAGGCTTTGTGCAAAGAACTAGGTTGTGCCTCAGGCACAAAGCATCCACGTTTTGGGTGGCAGTTACCAAAGTACTATGGATTTTGGCCCCTTAACCTTCTCCATCCCTCAGCCACGGCATGTTAGAGGCCAGTGGAAAGCATCTGGTGTTGATGTGTCCCAGGTCTCTCTAGAAAGGACGGTTAGAAATGAACATAGACCAGCAGAGCGCTTTTGTTACCTGTCCATGGAGATCTGCCAGTAACCTTGGTAAGAGACGGAGACCCAGTTGATGGAACCGGTGAAATAAGACTCATCGATTCCCCCGAAGATGACCACACTCCCTGTTGTCTCGCTGGATGACGCAGGAAAGAAAAACAGTGGAGAGTTTGCCATGTGGCTTCAGTGCAGGTCGCTTAAAACAGCAGGGCTGTGTGTCCCACAGGGTAAGATGCTGCTTGTGATGCCACGGTCCCCTCCTCATTACAGAGCGTCAGCGAGGCAGTGGTACAACAGCAGTGTGTGTCAGGTCCTTTGGACCCAGAAAAAAAAAGAGAGCCGCAGTGGAGGCACGTGGCAGGAAACTAGAGGGGTTTCCTGGCAAGCCACAAGCTAAAAAAGGGGGCAAAATTTCCCTGGTGAGTCTGGTGGCCACCTGCTATGAGCTCCCCAGCCTTTGCATGTCATGAGACAGAGACAACAGCCGGATGGCAGCAGTGGCAGCAGAGGAGCGGAGCCCCCAGCAAATGCAATGATGTGCATGAGATGCATCTGCTGCCTTTCCTGGCCCTTGAGACCCGTCACATGGCTTACCGGGACAGATAGACTGAGAAGAGGTTCTCCTTCAGCAAGCTCGCATTCACCATGTTGTCGAACACTGGTGTGATCCCATCAGCAGCCAGATTTGGGTAGCCCAAGCCCAGGATCCCATCAAATTTGACATGGACAAAGAATTGGCCAGGCTCGGTGGTGCTCAAGCCAAAGAGCTGGTTGGTGTCCACCAGAGATGCAACCTAGGGATGGGGAGGGTGCTGTGAGCTCCGGATCAGGCACTGCAACGCTGATGTTAATCAGGTGGAGAAGGCACAGAGGACCTCCCCAGCGACGCCATCACGACACTCACAGTGACGGTGTCGGAGCCCACGATGCCCTCCATGTCACCCGTGCCATAATGAATAGACAGGTTCTGCCCTGTGCTTTTGTAGGTGGAGGACTGCGATGGGTTAAACATCTGATGGTTTTCTAGAAGGTAAGTAGGAAAATCAGAAATAAAGACTTTCAGCAAGGCTGAGCCGTAAGGGAAGCGTGGGAGGAGGAACCCCGCAGAATTACTGTTTAGACCTGCCACTTATTACCCTGCTTTCAAGAACAACTTCACTGTGAGCATTTGCTGTAGGTCCCTGCCCCTCCTCCAGCAACCAGGGATCTGCAGGAAATCCCTTCAGCCCCTTTGGACGGGTGGGGAAACTGAGGCATTGAGCACTAAACACATCACCCTGTGGAGTACAGCACTGAGTAGGTCCTACACCCCAAATACTCATCTCCCCAGTCCATTGCAAAGACGCTACGGATGCAGCGCTGTGGGGGCTGCCTGTTGCATTGGCTAGGTGGCCCCTGGTCTCCTGGCAATGTCACCCTAATCTTCAGGCTCAATCGCGCAGTTATAAGCCCAGGACATGCTGCTGGACCCTTCTCTGCTGAAACGGGGAGCCTTGCCTGCCCCTACTTACGGCAAGCCAGGCTGGTGCAGGAGATGGAGGGAACCCAGAGGTTGGAGGAGCCGGTGTCGAAGACCACGGTGAAGTCCTGCGGTGGGGTGCCGATGGAGATGGTCCCGTAGTACTCCATCTGCGGGGCAGCAGGAGCAAGGGTTGCTTTTAAGGCATGAAACCAAACCTGGAGCTTCCCCAGGTTTGCAACCTTCGTGTCCCCCCTTCTTCATGGGGACACCCTGCTTCTAGCAGAGCTAGAGACACATTTCAGTGTCCTGGCTTTGTCCAGGACCACCAGCGCGGGCAAGTAGGGGTAAAGGATGTGAGCTGAGGGCTTTGGGGTAAAAGGATTTGGGTTTGGTCCATGCACAGCACAGACTTGGGGAAGGGCGTCCCACAAACGACCCCAGGGCTGCGCTGCTGGCGATCAAAGCCAATAC